ACTGGCTTGGCACATTTTAAGTTTCAGGGGCTGAAAAGTGCAAGAGAAGACAACGACATGCTTCAAATATCAACAATTTTAAACAACTTCGACAACGTCAAACAACACTCCGGACTCTTGATATACCACCCTGTTTAAACAAACATTCCGTTTTTCTACTTGGTAAAGAGCACTGTATTTATTGCTTGTTCAGTAATTCAGCTTCTATCACTTCCTGCAGATTCATCCAGAGGAGGCACGCTTTAGCAATGGCTCCCCCAACATCAGAGACGGCTTCTCCTATTGGAATTGCCAACGTAAGTTACATCAACGTCCGATTACTGGTGACTGCCTAACTGACCTGCCGGCGTTTCTATAGCTCCCGAATCAACGGTATGCCTCGACATCTCCCATATCCCTCCCGTGGGGTTCAATTGCGGGAGATTGGATATGCTGACAGAACTACAGACACAAAATCGTCGCCAAACGGGGAGCTGCTTTCACTATTATGGTACAATTCGATCCCTTATCATTACTCCTGCTTTCGTCTATAGTAACATGAGGTATAGGTTGCTGGAGAGTCCGGATTGGGCAAAACCACATTCATCAATACCCTCTTCTCGACCACTATCAAAAACTACGCCGACCACAAGCGTCGACATGCCAAGCAGGTCGATAAGACTGTGGAGATTGAGATCACAAAGGCTGAGCTGGAGGAGAAGTTTTTCAAAGGTATCAATTGCACCAGAAATGCTCTTTTTTGTGAATTCAGAGTTGCTAATTGATTATGTGTTCGTTTTCTAGTTCGATTGACTGTCATCGACACCCCCGGCTTTGGTGACTATGTCAACAACCGCGACTCGTGGATGCCCATTATCGAGTTCCTTGATGACCAGCACGAATCCTACATGCTTCAAGAGCAGCAGCCCCGTCGTGTTGACAAGATTGATCTCCGGGTCCACGCCTGTCTGTACTTCATCAGGCCCACTGGCCATACCCTGAAGCCTCTGGATATCGAGGTCATGAAACGTCTTAGCTCCCGTGTCAATTTGATCCCAGTGGTTGCCAAAGCCGATACTCTCAGCCCATCCGACCTCGCCCGATTCAAGCAGCGCGTAAGAATATCTTTGCACCTCTCATAAACTGGTGGGCCGATCGTCCAAGCTGATTATTTTGCAGATCCGCGGGGTTATCGAAGCCCAAGGTATTAAAATCTATCAACCACCCGTTGAAGAGGACGATGAGCACGCTGCTCAGCATGCCCGTAGCTTAATGGCTGCCATGCCATTCTCTGTCATTGGCTCCGAGAAAGATGTCAAGACCGGTGACGGCCGCATCGTCAAGGGCCGCCAGTATGCTTGGGGTGTAGCTGAGGTCGAGAACGAAGAGCACTGTGATTTCAAGAAACTGCGCTCCATTCTTATCCGTACCCACATGTTGGATCTTATCCACACTACCGAAGAATCCCACTACGAGGCCTATCGTGCCCTGCAAATGGAGACCAGAAAGTTTGGCGAGGCACGTCCGAGGAAGCTCGACAACCCCAAGTTCAAGGAGGAAGAAGAGAACCTCAGAAAGCGGTTCACCGAACAAGTCAAAATCGAAGAACAGCGGTTCAGACAGTGGGAGCAGAAGCTCATCTCGGAGAGAGATCGTCTCAACAAGGATTTGGAAAGCACTCATGCTGCGTATGTTCATCCTACTTCCATCAATTTTAGTTACGTCGTGCCCATTCTAACCTCGAACAGTATCAAGCAACTCGAGCAGGAGCTCGAGACAATGCAGGGATCTGCTGTTCGCAGTCATGGTCGCCGTTAGGTGTTGGATTAGGTATTTTGACGTTGTGTCTATTGCGCAGGAGATGGACGTGTTTCGAATGTAGTGGTTATTCCTCCAGCCCTGGCCGGCCTGATCCAAAATTGTCGATCCGAACAATTCTCATTTTATATTTGGCAAGAAGGCGACTATTCTAGGATTGCTTTTCGTTTCTTTTCTCCTTTCTCTTTCTTCTCACGCTTGTTCCCTGTTTCTTTCACATCTCACTGGTGCCTAGCGTATTCCCTTCTGAATCCGATAATAGTCTCCTCTGTTATATGTAGCGGTTTTTTTTAAATATCTTATTGCCTGAAATATCCAGCTTTAATTCTACAAGACTTTTCTTATTTACAATTTTGTTCCTTGATTTAACTCGGTTGATTGTATTTCTATGGTGTCGTATCCCGTTAGCCGTGTTCCTGACATTAGCCGTGCCCCGGCCCAATAGAAGCTTCAACAGCTCCCACCCACTAACTACTACATCACCAACTTGAACAAATCCAACAGAAAACAAACACCGCAGTAATCAGATGCCTCCAACTCAAAAATTCCCAACCTACCGCCTCCACACATTAAAAACTCACAATGGTACTCGTATAAAAACTGCATTAAACCATGTGCCTTCTCAATCGCGCAATACACTCCAATAACCACCCTCTCAACCAACCTTAAAGAGAGAAAAAAAAAATGCTAACAACCTCCCAGGCCCCGTAAACGCCATCTGCTTCTCCAGCTCCCCAGGCACATACCTCCTAACCGGCTCCTCAGACCGCTCAATCCATCTCTGCCGCGCCCTCCCACCCTCCTCCACCACCGTCCCCGCCACAACACCCATCACCACCAGTCCGATCCAACGATACGCGAAGCATGGCTACTCCGTGCTCGACCTAGCGGTGACGGCGGACAATGCACGGTTTGCGAGTGTGGGTGGGGACAAGCAGGTGTTTTTATGGGATGTGGAGACGGGGACAACGGTGAGGAGATGGAGTGGGCATGATGCGCGGGTTGAGGCGGTTGAGTTTGGGGGGGAGATGGATACGATTGTTGCTAGTGGTAGGTCTTTTCTTCTTTGGGTGTTTTGAGGTTTTCTGGGGAATTGTTTCAAAAAGTATATATATACCAAAAGATTGCATGGGAGTTAGTTGGCTTAAGGAACTCTGGTAGTGATGGGGAGACGAGGATTGGATCTCTCGAGGCGCAATTGAGATCAACGTATGTGATATCTACTGGATACTGCATCAGGGAGCCATTCGCTAAGCAGATCAAATATTACCCCTGGATTGGGTGGAAATGTTTAGATTTTTCTACCGTTCAAACACTCTAAAGATTATCGGCACCATACATCTCATTTACAATATCTTGCGAAAAATCCCCAACAAACTACCCATCAATTTGATATCTAAGCTCAAGTAACTAACAATCTCAAACCTCGGCACACAGGAAGTGCTGACACAACCCTAAGGCTTTGGGACACACGCTCCCTAACCTCAAAACCAATCCAAACTCTCTCCGAGGCCCACGACACCATCTCCTCCCTCTCCGTCCACATGCCTACCGCCAGCATAATATCCGGCAGCTACGACGGGCGAATCCGCAGCTACGATTTGCGCATGGGCATGGTAAATGTGGACGTCATGGGCCACGAGATCACGAGCGTGCGCTGCTCTGAGGACGGCAATGCCGTGCTGGCCTCATGTCTGGATGGGTGGATTCGGATGGTTGATAGGACGGATGGAAGTGTGTTGAAGGCATTTGGGGGTGGGGGAACTCATGCTAGTGCTGTATCTGCTGAGCAAGAAGGAGGACTTGCAGGTGTTGCTGCTGGTGCTACTCCTGCTGTTGTTGAGGACGGAGGACCGCGATATGTCAACAGCTCGCTGCGGATAAGATCTTCGTTTGCGAAAGGGGATGCCGTGGTGTTTAGCGGTGGGGAGACGGATGAGAATCAGCATCCCGCTACCGTCGAGAGTCATGTGTTTGCGTGGGATGTCTTGTCGGGAGACGTCATTGCGAAAGTGAGTGTGGGTAGAGGGGTTAAGGCGGTCAGTTGCGTGGCGTGGAATGAGAAAGGAGGATGTTGGGCTGGTGGGTGTTCAGACGGTAAGTTCATCTCTCTCTGTCTTGTTGATATCGTGCGTTGGTCTGCTCTAAATGTCGGGATTTACGGCTACCCAAGGGGAGGGTTTTGATATCATCCGCTTTCTAACTCTAATTTATGTTTACTAGGGACCGTGCAAGTTTTCGGATGACATTCACATCGCTATATGCTCTCTCGCTTTTCCATCCGGATTTTATCAATATCCATTCTTACGTTGTGATGACCAATATCATCATCTCACTATTTTGGTTCGCCGTTTGCTCATCTTCCCGTCTATGAAACTTGGTCTCCAACCCAAAGCATATCGTTCATGTATGTAGTTCCGTGTGGCAACGAGTTAGGTACTTTGATATATGATTCAAAGTAATATCTAAACTCCCGGTGCTTTCGAGATATGGTCAAGTAAACCATAGAGAAAAGCTATATTCAATATTCCTCATGGATTATCACGCTGGTTGACGGTGGATGGTGGACGAAAGAGATGTCACATGCTTACTACGATCAGCAATTCTTCAGAGGAAATACGGACGCCTGACGTTACCTTTCACTTAAGATAGATTTAAACCAGATCGTAATGAGTCTGGTGAAATGAATGCGGAATGGAGGCGAGAGTTGGGATGGGCCGGATAACACTGCGTTCTTAATAGATATTTAGATTAGATAGTTAGGTATATATATTGACATTTGTATAGTAATAGATCAGGGAGAGATTTGAAATTCTCCTCATTAGGTATTTCAATGGCTTTAATCAATCCTGCACATGAAGTTAATAGCAGATACAGCGTCACAATGAAAAATATGTTAATTGGACACTCATAGTACTTTTATTTTTCCTTGCCATCTGACCAAGCTTTGCATGGCCCCCTTGTTTTATTCAACGGGTTGCTCAAAGACACACTCCACAATTTTTTCCATCCCAAATATATAGTAACCTAAATATAATTTTTGCTCATCATCCATTTCACTCATTCTCTACCCACACTCACATCAAGACACAAAATATGTTCTATCCAACTTCCCCTCATAAACAATCATGATACAAGAAGAACGCGAATGCAATATTTTTTTTTTTTTGGAATTTTATTTTCCAACCCAACCTAAGCTAAACTCAACTCGATTCCCCACTCTCCGCATCCAACGACGCAATCGCCTTCTCCAGCTCCCTCTCACCAACAATAACAGTCCCGGCTCTCGCGGTACTCAGGAAACTGATATCTACAACATCTGGGTACGAGGCGTCCGGATCTCTAGGAAGCCGATAGAGCTGCTCCTGCTCTTGCTCTTGCTTCTGCTTCTGCTTTTGCTTCTGCTTCTGCTGCTGTTTCTGTCTTTGCTTCTGCTTCTGCTTCTGCTTTTGCGCCTGCAACAATGCTGATGCTTTCAATTTTGATCCAGCGGAGCCAATCGTCGGAATATCTATGCCACCACTCGCGCCCTCGTTTTCGCTCTCGCTGCTATGCGTATGCAACCGACTTTGCGTTGCAGTGGCCAGTCGACTAGCGACGCCACAAACGATACCAGTAGCTTCGAGTGGGAGATCGCGCAGGTCAAGCATGATGGGTATGAGGACGTCGACCTTTGAGCCTAGGAGGAGATTATTGCCGTCCTCGAGGGAATAGTCGCCATGCTGGTCATGGGAGATTGAGCAGATGGGGTCGAGAGAAAAGCGAGGCAGGAGGCGCTTTTCAAGCAAGATGGACGGGGAGGGATCGGTGGCGGTTAGGGTGAGTGAGAGAAAACGGGGGTTATCGAGGATTAAGGTTGTGACGAGGCTGGGACGGAGGGTTGAGGTGGATGAGGGGTGGGGTGATGAATATTGGGCTGCGCATTGGACGATGCGGAGGGACTTGTCGACACGGGCGTGTATGTTGTGTTTTCGTAGGGAGGCAAAGGTCCGGGTTTGCAGTTCTGATAGACTTGATGGGGACGGGGTTGTTGTTGTCGATGGTTTTGTGTTTAGGGATGACTGAGAGCTCTGGTATTGTGGGTTATTACTACTGTTGACGAAAGCGTCTGTGGACACTTCAAAGCTGAAGCCACGGTTCTCGAGAGCCTGGGTTACATGACCTTTTGAACGCTGGGGGACGAGAATATAGTCGGAGAAATAGGTTGAAATGAAGAAGATTGATCTTTATTTTTATCAGATAAGAAACGTCGTTAAGGGTTCAATTAGATAAGAACTTACATCCCCGCCATTGCAAGAGGGCTGGTCAGCTCCAAAACTCTCTGACCTGCCTCTAACCCCTGACCGTCAACTTGCATAGCGATGAAATCATCTTTACTGATAGAAACGTGGTTTGCCCTGGAAGGTTCATTTTTATTGAACTTTTCTGTTAGAGGCCGGAAATACAGTTCAGCCAGCTCTCTCGAGCAAACAATCGAACATTCGACTGGAGTAATAGAAAAGTTAAAGAAGGTGGGTTTTTCAGGTTCGGAGATATTGAGGTCCAGCACGTCAAGTTCGTTGGGGTTTCTGTCTTCGATAGGAGGTAAATCGTGGAAGATAAGCTGCAGTATTGGCTTCAGGAAGAAAGTGTAGAAATCAATAGGAATGTGAATGAGTGCGAGGCGGTCGTTCTAAATCCCGATTTCCAATGTCAGTGATGCGGCTGGCTTTGCATAATCAAGACCAAAGATAGTACGGGCTAATTCCACGAAGATATTCCACATAGCGTTAGGCCAATGGTTCGATTATTCCAAGATACAATAAGCATCGAGGGTGCTCCTAGACTGGGAGGGGGATAGGGGAAAGGTGGGATATTGGGAGGGAGGTCATGATATTCGACACGACTGCAACTTACCAAGAGCCGAACTTTAGCAGAGAAGAGAGACAATGACCGGGACATGGACATGGTGACGGCCACGTTTATGGTCTGATCACCCTGTCCGCTTAGGCTGGTACGTAGGGGGATGTGATTGAATTTCCAAGTGGTCTATAGTCCAAAAAGAGAGATTAGTCGGTCATTATTTCTCCAACAATGACGATATATATATAGCAGAGTAATATGGGTTCGTCCAGTTGAACACTCGTAGAAGCCCAGCTTCAAATTAAAAGCCCTGCATTCAACTGAACGATGACAGGACAGCGGACGGAGCGCTGGCGCAAGATGTCGTGGCAGTCCCGAGATGCTTCTCGGGACTGGGGCCAACCAGGACAGTGGAGCGATATCAGGATAAGACTGAAGAACCCAGCCCAAGAACCCAGGGCAATCGTCCCAAAATTTTAGATGACTTGTAAGCTTTTTTAGATTGGGGTAATTTGTCCGGTTTGTCATACCCCTTTGAACCGTGAATCGGGCTATTTGGATGAAACAGATGAAAACGGCCAGCTTGAATCGAGACAGACAGTGCCACAACAAAGCAGCGGGAATAAACCGTTAACTGTGAAAATAATGACCGTAGAAGAGGCAGTTAAGAGGAAAGGCAGTAAAAGCTAGAATGCCTCCAGATAGATGGAAATTTTGGTGCCGAAACCGAGCAAACCAAGCATTTATCTCCGCGGTCAGAATATACACGAACCAGCAGGGGAATATGCACAAAGAAGCAGTGTCCGATACGCAACTAGCAGAAAGAGGAAAAAGAAACAGACAGGGGAGAATACGTCAAGGCTTCAACAGCATATACAAATATCCAAAAAAAAAAAAAAAAAAAAAAAAAAAAAAAAAGGCAATTTCGCGCAAGAAGTCCGTCACTTAACGCAATTAAATGCCGTAGATGCGAACAATGCTCCTTTGGATTGAGCGAGGCTGACAGGTTCTTAAATCAGCAAGATTAAACAAGAGCCTGCAATTGAAAGAAGGGAAAAGTTTTCAATATATATATATATATATATTTCCTTAACCCTTCTAATAGCACCTCTTGTCTGTTCTTGTGTTGGGTGCCATTTTTTTTTTTAATTTAGTTTCTGGGTTTTTACTCGTTGAGACTGGTAGGGCTCTGAAGAATACGCCAATTGCCCAATGATCGAGCAAGTCAACCCACCAGCCCCTGGGTCCGGCGTTTCTACCAAGAATGATATGCAGGAAAATGATTTTTTTTTTTTCTTTTCTCCCGCCCTTGCTTGACTTGGCGATAGATGGACGTCACAGGGACAGGTTACGGCGGAAGTGAGATTGAGGGAGAAGTTATCTTGAGTGTATGTGCGAAGGGGAGAGCGGAGAAAAGACAGCTGGGGACCGGCAACAACACAACGCCGGAAGAGGACAGGAAGGCCGGAATAGTTGTATGAGCTGGTTGAGACGAATCAGAGGAGGAAAATCGAAGGAGATAACAATCCTGATCTCACAAACAGATGCAGACGCAGAATTGGGATGGGATATCAGATGGAATAGAGAGACTCGACTTTATTGCTCTTCTTCTCTTAATGTATGGAGTGAATATAGCATGCAGCAGGCCAAACTATCTATGGGATGAACTCACCGCTCGTTGATTGGATATCTGTAGACAGGTATGTATGAACGAATTAACTATCCTCCCCGAAGGCCATGTCGCATAATAATGACAATAATGTTTCGTGGTTACAACTTGACTAACCGGTTCAGTTTGGTGTAATGGGGAGAACTGCCAACAGGTCGTGTGTGGAATGGAGAGGTCAGTCAGTAACAGTCAAGATGGACACAGACACAGAGGAGCAGGAGCAGGACAAAAATGCCGGTTCAGCTCCGTGCATCGAACTATTGATTAAACATCTCGTTGAAAATAATAGGAACCCGAGCGCAGTGGCAATTTATTCCCAACAAAAGCTTCTGCTCCTCGTTAAATGACCACAAGCAACTAAATTTAAAACAAAATGAAAATAAAATTATAATTAAAACAAAATGAAAATAGAATTAAAATTAAAAAGAGAAGAGAAGAGAAGAGAAGAGAAGAGAAGAGAAGAGAAAAACCGTCTGTTTCTCTTCGCGGGTTGCACAGGTGTTGTGTTTGGCTTTTGCACTGTTGGAGACGCGCGAGGGGACAAGGGCGGGTGAGAAACAAGAGAGTTCCCTCGACGGGTTCTTTTTTAGCTCCCCCCAGCTATCTTAACTTAGGCTAAGCGGTGGAAACTACCCCATAGTTTGTTGACTGGGGGAGGACCCAGAAACCCATTTGTGATTTATGGCATCATCAAGAAGCAGAACCGTGGTACACGGCCAAAGCCAAAGTTTTCACGCCAACGTGGGGGGGCAGAGAGAGGGGGAAGAGAAAAAGGCGCTGGGCTATTTCTCCTCAGACCCCGCTCCTGTGTAGGCACGCCCATTTTCGTCCTTCGAAAATTGCGTGATGTGTGATGCTATCTATCCTTGGAAAAGTTTCCGCAGGGAATGAATGGCTTCAAATCATTGGAGGCGCGCCGTCAACTTTTCACGCCCTGCTTCTCCCGCCCGCCCAATGTGCGTCCCCCTTGTTTCAAAGGCTCCAAGCATATATAAGCATATATAAGCATATCGGCAGCAGAGGGGAGGCAAAAGGCCATTGTACGTACCCGCACTGAGCGCGAAGCATTGTGAGGAGAGCGGGGAGAGGAGAACCAGGCCCAACCAAAGTTCTTACTCGTTGTCCTAGAGGCCCTGGGAGTTGTTTTAGAAGCTTGAGTTAACTCGCAGGAAACCCCCTGTGCATTGGTGTAAATAATTTTGGGATTGGAGCCTAAAGTCTCCTAAAGTCTGTCCTTCTTTTCTGGATGATCGTTGTTCTCTGGCGAGAGCGAAAAAGCGGGGAAAATGGGATAGTTAACCAATGTAAAATCAATCCTTTTTCTGTTCCCGACAGAGAGAGAGGCTGGGGGATGCGCCATTACTCTCTCGTCGACGATAGGCATGGGATGAGAAAGTTTGTCAGATAACTAAAGCCTACACTAATTTCGTGGAGCCACCGCTTGACAGTTTCAGTCTAGCAAGACCTGCGCAGCTGGAACGGGGACTCGAGGGCGAGTCTGGTGTGGTACTTGATACAGAGGGAACTGGAATTACTGTTGAGTAATAATATGAATGGGATGGTTTAACTCCCCGAGGTACCAAGGTTTGCGCAGGCTGTTTAGCTAGTCTTGATCAGCGATTCCGAGATCGGTGCCGGCCGTTCATGAGAAACTTGCGTCATCATCGAACTTGTCGAGTTACGTTATTTTATTCGGCAGCGAGCGAATTCAAGTGCCCAAAACCTCCAATCCTACGAGGTTTAACTTCACTGGTTTTCTCTACTCCGTAAAACCAACTGCGGATTGCTCTAACTACCTCCCCCTCCAGATATCATCACCGTCCCCAATTCCCTATTTCCCTGGCTTTGACGTCTAGCCACACCTTGACGCTCATCAGCCACTTCCGTCATTTAGTTGTCCAAGTTCCTCGGCCCTTTTCTCCTAGTTGTCCAAGTTCCTCGGCCCTCTTCTCCTGAAACAGCGAGACATCGTCTTTGAATTCTGACGCCACAAAGATCTCCAGGAACTGTCCAAAGTTCGTCCTGCAGCTATGTGTGTATGCGCTGGACGATATAACAAGCTGTTCAACTCGGAACAGAAGAGGGGCCTTTCCTGTGACCAAGCAATTCAGCTGTCGCCCTTCAGCTCGGGGATATGCCAAACGGGGCAGTTAACCATGGTTTTATCTACATGCATTAACTAAATGCAATAATACAACTCCCATTCTGACCCCCAAACTAAGCTTCCCCTTCCCGGCGCAAACCCTGAAAGCCCTCTCCTGCAGCTCTGCATCTCATTTCCGAAATCTCGACATCGGCATTTTGCGCCGGGAAGCGCCCAGACTTGGTAAGAAGTAGTTAGTTAACTACACTAACTGCCAAACACCATGCCTGATCGTTGCTAAAGTTTTACGTATTTACGTCCTTGTCTCCTTGCATTCCGGGCATGCAAGGCATATTCGTTCCGTGAGGTGTCGTTCCAGCCCGTTCACAACATTTGATATTGCAGTCCCCACTGGAACCAGAGGGGGGCTTCCTGTGTGATGTACTTTTGCCTTTACATACGTACAACGCGCATAATAAAAGCCCATCATCCTACGTGTATCGTCGTGTCTGCCCTTCTATGGACGGGTGCGAGAGACCAGAACTCCACCCAACCGACTTAACAGAGATTATACTCGGGGAAAATTAATTAAACGTCCTGGCTGTGATTTGCTTTCCTTGGTGCGGCTGTATGTAACTATTTGGGATATTGCATATCCTCTGGGGTTGAACGATTAAATATTCAGTTTTCAGCCTCTTTCTCTCTTTCTTTTCTTATTTGTGCGGATCTGGGTTTAAATTTCAGCTTACTTCGACGTTTGCATGTATATGTAATTCGAGAGTGTTCTTCTCGTGTATTCTTCTCATGTATCCGCCTCGTTCCGTGACAGATAGAAAGGGATCCATAGTTAACTACTGCAGCTTTCCCCTTTGGGTTCTCTGTGTTTCGTCTTCCAATATCCTGTCTAGTCAGAAGGATGGGATGATCTGCCGTGACAAACACGCCACATTGATATGGTATCCATAACTATCTGTATGGTTACGGTTCTTTTTACTTCTCAGAGAGAAGTTTACTAGTATATTCCCGACTCCTTTGATGCGTTCTTGGAGAAAAATTGTCGCTGGTGACTGAGGCAAACGGGATCGATAAGCGTGCAGGAACATTAAAAATGACATCCACGACAGCGGGGCGGTGACGGGATTCTAGTTAACACGGATCAATGATTGAGAACGAGGGGATTGTTTCCTTCCGTAAAACTCAACAAACGGTGGAATCAGTCTTCGGGATTGCTGGCTGATGTCCAGCATCTCCGCCTGTTTTCCCCGGCTTAACATTTCAGCTTAACATTTCAGCTGTATAAAGGGTCTACGGATGGAGAACTACGTCAAGTCAAGTCTTTCAATACCACTTCATGACCTGAGTGATATGCACGAATTGGAGGATACACTGAGCGCAAATGTGACAAGGCGTAGTAATGGATCTTTTCTCCAAGTCCGTAGTATGTTTTTCTATGGAGAGGGATAATGTACACGGTATTGCACCTGGAATAAAGAAGGGACCTATTTTACATACGTGAGCAACCTTGGAATGATAAGAGTTAGTTCATCACTAACGAAAAAACGCACAACAAGAGCAATAATTTGACGTCAGATTTTTTTTTTTTTTTTTTTTTTTTTTGTAATAAAATCGTTCCCATATCATAAATTATATCACGCCCATGGCATGAAGGTATGTCATTGTCATAGCACATCACATCATCAAGATATATACATCCATCGATTCTAATGAGCCGAATTAACAGAGTACTACATCCCTGCAATATTCCCACAGCAAAACAGATTTTTCTCGCCCTCTGCAACTCCATTGAAAAGAAGAGTATGACAAAAAATCAAGAAGAATTAATGCATATGCAACGACCGCAAAAAATTCCATATCATATATCCTGTCAAGTAGCCGTAGTGCCCTGGCCGCGATTCATACCCCTACTGCCGGCCCGTGGGGATCCACGAACGCCTCTCCCACGACCATTTCCCCGACGGTCCAAGGACGACGGCGGAGGAACGCTGTTGTAAGGTCTCGGTCGGAAATTAGGGTTGTGATTCACAACATCTGCGTCTGGATCTGTTCTCTCCACCGAGACATAGCCAGCACGAGCCGGAGAACCAAATCCTTCACGCGGGGAGCCGCGTCCACGTGGAACATAGCCGTTTGGCTGCATGTTGTTGAAATTAGCACGACCGCCCCGTCCACGGAAGCCATTTGGTTGTGTTTGGGACTGTTGCTGTTGTGGTGAGGTACTGTTTGGGTGAGTGCGAATCGGCAATGTTTGCTCCGACTGGCCGCGGCCATCACGGCCACGGAATCCTCCATTACCCCTAGGCCACGCACCTGGCTGTCCTACGACGGCACCGCGGAAACTGCCCCTTAGTGGCGGCGGGGTTCTAGCATCTTTCAGCTGGCCTTTCCCACCTGGTCCGAGAGAAGCTCGGTATCCCTGGACGGTGAGAGGCTGTTGCTGCTGTTGCTGTGATCTATTTTGTTCAGCTGCAGCACGGGTAACGGCGATAAGTTGCTTGTTGGTCAAGTTTAAGGCGGCCGATGCTGGAACGGTGGAGCCCCGGAATAGCGAACATCTGTCTCCCAGAGTTGTACCGCTCATGAAGGAGACGTCAAATACGATGTCAAGGAGCAGGGTTCTGGAAGTCCGTGTGAGACCAACGACAGTGCCTTTTGTGGCAATGGGGACCTTGCCAGACTCCTGCACATAGACCACCCTATCACCAAGAGAGAACGATTGGTTGCCAAGCCGATGTTCCGCATCGGATGGTTTCAATAGAGCATTCCTCGGCACGCCTCTTATCTTTTTGGGTTCGGGTTCTGGACGAGTACGGACGAGTTCATCTGCAGCTTGTTCAATGGATTTCACAAGGTCTGAATCAAGTTGCTCCGCTTCCAACGGAACACGCTCGAAGTTCTTCGCCTCGATAGATTTGAGCCACGCCTGAATCTCCTTGATTTTTGCAGATGCGATTTCGGCAGGATAGAAATCCGTAGCTTGGAAGCCGTCACCTTGGGGTTTTCGTTGTATGCCTGCGATGAACTCGGGGAATTTGATCATGTATTGATGGAGAAGGTCGGTCGCCTTTTCACTGAATTCCCACCCGGTCGGCCCACGGCGAGAGTATCCAAGTACCTTGAGCTTTTTCGCCTCAAATTTCAGGTTGAGGCCCAGGTTGATACGCTGACCATCCAAGATCACGGTGAACGAGGAAGTGATCTTGGCTAGTGTTAGTGGGTTTAGATGTAGACTGCGAGCAATCGCGAACGATGGACTATAAGGAGAAATCCTTTCAGCACTTCTGGTGAGATCACGAGCAAATTCTGGCTCCTTGGCCTTGACCACAGAAACAAGACCACTCAATTTGCCATTTTCGTGTCCAGTAATATGTACCGGTGCACCGTAATTGTATTCACCCAAGAAGAAAGCCCTAGTTCCCTCGGGAAATTCCTCTTCAACCGGTAAAGCTTCGCGTTCGATAAAGCGGTTATCCTCACACATCACGCGGTCCACAACCAGCTGCAAAGCATAATCCGTTTCAATACCCGGAATATCAGCAAACTCCTTGACCGTAGCACCTTGGTCTGTCTTTATCAATCCTTTCAGCATCTGAACATGAACCATGGACTCGATTTCGCCAACTATCATACCAAGTCTTTTGCTGTAATATGACTCAATCTGCTCGGCCTTGCGCTTCCACTGATTCGCTTGGGAGGGCGTGTGGGGGATAGAAACGACATGCTGTTCACCGTCGACGTACATGTAGTCGAAAAGTTCATCTGATACGCGAGTTACTTTGGCCTCTTGAAGGAAGGGGTAGCCGACATGGACTCGCTGACCCAGTTTCTGCTTCGCCAACTCAACGCTGGAGCGGTTTTCTGGCTCCGTAAGAGTGACGACCATACTTTCATTACGACTTTCCTGTTGGAACACGGATACTCCATGGAAGCTTAGTTGACCGTGATGCGGTAATGTTTTCAGGCTAGGAAATCCCGCCAATGCCTCGTGTCCTAACTTGACCCCTTCCACTAGGCCAACAAAAGGTTCCAAACCATCCATTGTGGGAAGGTCGAACACATTTTCGATACAGTGACACCTGGCGATATCGGGAAACACGCCAACAAGCGAGCTGGGATAGATGTATTCGATGTCTGGAGAATATGTGAATTTCAACGTAACGCCGAATTCATTTCTTGCTTTTTCTTCTGGTGTCAAAAGATGTTCTTTCGTCGCCATGGCCTTAAGCAAGCGTTTTTCCTCAATGAATGGAATTTTGACAACAGCTTCCCAGTCCATTTTTTTGCCATTCATATCAAGTTCGAAATCGCGGGGATAAAAGTCAATGATCGGGGATTCGGGAGATGTCATCAGCTCGTGGAAAGCAGCGGGAACGATTTGTTTGCTTCGATCCGGTAGAACACCCATTAACTGCTGGAAAGGGTGAAAAGGTTGTCCGAGATCGAA